AGTCCATCCACTGGTTGAGAATCTTACCAAGCATGAGGCTGAACAGACCCACAGCTGACCCTCCAGCAGGATTTTTTAGGCAGTAAATCACATGGGATATTATCTAGCCTCCTGAGGAGCAGCTGATGGATTCAAACTGTGTCTCTTTGGGATTGCAACATAGCTTCTTACCACTAGGCCACCAGAGCTCCCTTAACCTTTCCTGTTGTTATGTGCCGTCGAGTCACTTGTGACTCCTAGCCACCCTATGTACAACAGCCCTAAACCCTGCTCTAATCTATGCCAATCTTATTGTCTCTGACACACCCATCCCGATTAACCCAGTCACTGAATCAATCCATCTCATAGAGGGTCTTCCTTTTCTGCACTGTTCCTCCACCTTCCTAAGCATGATGTCCCTCTCCAAGGACTAGTTCTTCCACGAAACATGGCCAAAGTATGTCAGACGAAGCTTCAGAATCCTTGCCTCCAAGGAGCAGCCTGGTTTAACCCTCTCCAGGATGAATCTGTGTTTTCTTAGCAGCCCAATACTCTTCTCCAGCACCACAGCTCAAAAGGCATCAATTCTCCTTCTATCATCCCAGTCATCATTGTCCAGCTCCCTGATACATGGCAAGTAATTGTGAAGACTATGGCCTGTATCAGGCGCACCTTAGACTCCAGACTGGCATCATTGCTCTTCAGTAATTTTTTACTCATGTCAGGAATAAACTTGACACATTAACATGGATGACCAAAGAAAGCTCAGAAGACCTGGGATGACATCAAGGTGACATGAAGAAAGGTAAAGGTCAACAGAAAGACAAGAAGATGAGTAACAGAAGAGACTCAAATTTTCTCTTGAATATGGAACATAGAGGAAGAAAGTAGTGAAGTAAAGGATTGCAGGGATTTCAAAGGGTAGCTAAAACAGACAAAATAAAGCATTATACTGAAATCTGTAAAAACTTGCAGTTTCAAAATCAGAACAGAAGCGCATGCTTGACATTTCTCAAACTAGAAGAACTGAAGAATAAATTCAGTCCTCCAGTTGCAATACTGAAGGCTTCACGAGGCAGATAGTGAATGACACAGGAAGCACCAAAAGAAGATGAAAGCATTACCACTGCTGCACCAGAAAGAACAAGATGACACTCAACCATTTCAGGAGGTAGCAGATTATTTAAAACCCGACAGTATTGAAAGAAATGCAGGTGCACTGAAGGCATAGGGGGAAAATAAGGCTTCCAGAACTGGCAGAACCAACTGGGATGTTTCAACAAGTGGGTGCAATGCTGGGAGCATTTGCTTGCCTACGCAAACAAGGGCTCCATTTCTGTGTCCATTCCCAAGAAAGGGGATCCAAGAGAATGCAACAATTATTTACCAGCATCATTAATAATGTGGTCATGTGCCGTCAACTCTGACTTTATGAAGTCTGTGAACAACAGATCGAAAGCTAGGCCTATCCTGAGCCTTCCTCACTATCTCCCACATGCCCGCACCACTGTTAACGGTATCGATTCTCCTGGCTGCGGGTCCTCCTCGCTCTGACCCGCCTCCTTTCCCAGCCCGGTGTCTTTTTCCAATGACTGGCCTCTTCTGACAACATGTTCAAAGTCATGTGAGATGAAGTTTCACCACCTGTGCCTCTATGGAGCCCCTGGTTGCACTTTCTCTCACACGGCCTAGTTCTTCTGGCAGCCCGTGGAATAGTCAGTATTCCACCAGCATCACAATCCAAAGGCGTCGATTCTTCTGTTGTCTTATTTATTGTCCAACCTTCACACACATAGGAAGCAATTAAAAATGCCATGGCTTGGATCATGAAATTGTTGCTGCGGTCCCCAGACAGAAACTGCGAGAAATTCAAGCTAGATTCCGAAGAGAATGTCAAACCAGGGGAACCATTGCTGATGTCAGCTACATCTTGAAAGCACGGAATACCAGGGGGACGTGAACCTGCTTATTGACTATGCAGAGGCACTTAACTGTGTAGATTCTAAAAGTGTTCAATAAAAATAGTTACACTGCAGAATGCAAATTCCAGTACACTTAATTGTGTTCCTGAGGAATTCACATACAGTCACGGAAGATTAGAACAAGGGGTGCGGCATGGTTTGAACTCAAAAAAGGGTGTGCATCAGGATTGTAGCTCTTTAGTCAATCTACATGCTAAGCTAATCAGAGGATGACTTTTTTTCTCAATTCTTTTATTATTAATTTTAATGAAAATTTACAGAGACTTTGAATTTCTATTCATTCACTGTTGCACTTTTCTCCCCTGCCCACTCCCACTACCTGCTACCCCCAGCTCACTCTTCTCTATGAAAAGTGAAAGAATAATTATTTCATTGTTTTACAATCCCTCCCCCCAGGCCCCCTCCACTATGCAGCCTTCGTTCTGGACTCCTGTCATGACACAGAGGAAGACTCTTATTGGCCAGTGATATGCATGTGACACAACCTTGCTGATCTGAAGAATATCAAAGACTACAGCCTTCAGAGAGACGCAATCCTTACTGAAGGCTGCATTCTTTGGAGGGGGACATGATGCTGGGAAGGGTGGAGGGTCGGCAAAGGAGAGGAAGATCCTCAACCAGGTGGACTGACCTGGTGACTGCTGCATGGGCTCGTGTGTGTCAGGAAGTGTGAGGATGGAGCGGGACAGGACTGAGTTTAGATGTTTTGTTCACAGGGCTGCTACGAGTCGTGCTCAACTCTATGGCACCTAACAACAGCAGCCTCCAGGATGGAGTAGACTTCACCCTCCCTCAGAGTTGACTGATGGGTTTGAACCACTCACCTCTCTCAATACTTAACCTCCACTGCTCCCAGAGCAATTTGGCCAGATACAAAGTGTACCAATTACTTGTCAATTCTTAGAGCTCTTTGACTCGTCTTTCTCCTTAATATAGTCTTCTGAACGATATACCAGCAAGCTCTAGACTGGTAAGGTCAGACCTGGGCTTCATGAAACCTAAAGAAGATGCAGCTTACACAGTCTACACACCCACGCCAACTCGCTCGCATGGGGCCTCAACACCCCCGGCAAAAGGGGGGTGGTCTGTTGTGGTTTGTTTTGAAGTGAACATTTACCATTTCTTCCTAACACGAGTCTCTGGAAGACATTTCAGCGGCGAGGGCTGTCTCAGTTTCAGCATTTTTGCTACAAATCCCAAAGTGAACACATTTCAGAATAGTCTCGATAATGATGTTCTATTTGCTGACTTTACACACACACACACACACACACACACTTTGTTTCCCTGATTATATTTTTAAACTTGCTGAAGCAGAAAGCACAAAGCAGTCTTCACACTTCTCTTCAAAGACACAAAGCTAGAAAGCACTTTTGCGAATTTTAAATGCAAAGATAAAAGTTATAGGTCAACGTTAGTGTAATGCTTTCTAGAGGGAAATTGGCCTCTTTTTTAGAAACTTCTTCAATGTCAAAAAAATAGTACTGGGTATCATAGATTATAGAATATTATATTGGACAATTAAAAATATAATGATTTTTATTACCACCTTTTTATGGCCCTAGTTATATTGAATCTATTAAGAATCCTCATCTTGGAAACATAAACAGTTTAAGAAAGCTCTGTTTTGAGAGCACACAGTTTGGGAGAACTTTTCACCTCTATACAATTGATCTGTGAGCTTTGGTGGCTTAATGGGTAATGAGTTGCACTGCCAACTCAAAGGTAGGCAGTTTGAATCCAGCAGCTAACTGCTCCTCAGGATTAAGATAGCAATCTTAATCCGTGAAATCTGCAGCCTCTAGAAACCTGCTGGAGGATTGATCTGCTACACTCAACAACAATGTGTTGAGTTAAACAGATTATGACTCCCTCTCCCCAAAAAAATCCACAAATTTTCAAATTCAAAAATAACAGTTAGCTTTATTTAACATATGTTACATCATAACATTTAAAATATCATGCTCTAGTTAAATACAACACTGTATACAAATAAAATATTACACAAAATATATTTAAGAAAATGTTTTGGTCGTTGATCTGAACAATAAATAAAAACACAGGCACTTCTACACTGAGACAGGGAAGCATCGCTACACAGAATAATCATTTTTATAAGCAGTATGTGAAAATATGGCAAGAACAGAATTCTGGAGTTTTAAACTGACAAACCACTTACCAAAGGCCTGTAACTGTAATCTCTCCATTTAAAACACCCATGTTACACAGGCCTCCCCGGCGGCTTTTTAAATCACAAATTCAATATGGCTGTCAGGGGCAATTCAATCTGTGGTTGGCCATTATGGAATCATACTCATTATAGTCAAATACTAAAATCAGAGAATTTTATCATCCAACAGAACCTGACACCAAAAGACTCAACATCCCCTCTCCTTACATGAGAACTTAACAAGGTAATCTGTCTGAGTGTCACATGATGATTCTCATTTTGCAAACTGAACTTGAGCAGATTAACACAAGAAAATACTGTCATGGGGGGGGGGGGGGCAGGAAATTTTGACAGGAGTCAATTTTCTCGAGACAATTTCAAATTCACCCAAATGGCATGAAAATAAGAGTTAACTGCATTTCAACGGAAGCCACTGAACTATGTGTAACAAAGTCTTTGGAGCCAACTGGTTCATAAACACCTAAGTCACAGATAAATTAACCATCAAAATGGAAAACAGGAATATCATCATATAGGGGCAAAACAAAAAAAAATAACTTGAAATGGTTAACATCTGGAAACTTATGATTTCAGATGGGAGAGGGTAAATTGGGGGGGAAATGGCCACCGGTCTGTTGGAAGGATTAGAATCTTCCTTCCTTATCACCTGCCATATCTCCATAAAACATTGTATTATTCTGCATTCCCTCTTCAGAAAAGTACCAAATTGAAGGATTTCAACACCCTCAAATGGATCCGTCAAAGGCAATTCTGATGGTTTTAGCATAGAGATCACCCTAATGTGAGAACACGATGTGGGAACTAGTCATGATTATGTCTTTCTATGCAAAACGTAGCTGATGTGTATCTTAGCATTTTAAATGAGCATTTTGTAACTGAGACCAAATATCGATCATCTCCTGGGGTTTTCTGCTATGGACTAACATCAGGTCTACATAGGAGCAGATATTATTCTTATGCTTCTCTTCGATATCAAATGTTCGGAAGCCTTTGTGTTTCTCTGGAACGAGGCCGAGTTTCTGAAGGCACATTCCAGTATAAACGTCATCGATGGGGTAGAGGTGGACCCGGTCGGTCATCGCGTACAGCCTCCGGGCCAGGTGGCCGGAGTAGAGGAAGCCACCTCCCCCGGCATAAGGCGGGTAGACACCCGAGTAAACAACTTCGGGGATGTAGTACTTCAGTTTCTTATCCCGATGAGGTCCAGCATTGTGGATGACATCGCCGATAAACAGATCTTTGGCTTTATTCTTGGACAAGCTATTCAAGTAATTCAGGATGTGGTGGGTGTTCACGAAGACGTCATCGTCACCCTTGAACACAAACTCTGCGTTGGGGCAGGAGCTGCTCACCCAGCGAAGGAACAGCACTTCCTTCAGGGACAGGTTGAAGAAGGTGTCCCTGTAGTTCCACAGAAGGATGTCCTGGTGCCTCTCGCTCTCGAATTTCAGCATATCCGAAAGGTCGGGGTGGTTGTCCTCCGGGGGGGTCTGGCCCAGCAGGAAGACCCGCACCACCGTCTGGTTCCCCACGGTGGCTTCGCGACCCCAGGACTCCCGGATGGCTTGCCGTCTGGCGAAGTGGGGGGTGAGGGACTTGATGGCCAGCAACAAGAAGGGCTTCTTTGCACACTTGTGCGGCTGGTCGATAAGCAGTGAGTAATTGCGACATCTCAGGTACAGCAGGAAGTCTTTGAATCTGTCCGGCAAGTTGCTGAAGCCCGTGACCACGGAGGGGACCCGCAGGTCGGGCTCGCAGTAGTTGAGGTGGCTCAGGTTGGAGAACTCGTAGCCCTCGCCGGTCTGGTTGGGCAGCGCGCTGAGAATGGGGTTGTACCGCTTGTTCAGCATCTCCTGCTCCCTGTTCCAGTACGCCGTGGGGGGCCTGGACACCCTCCAGAACTTCTCTTTGGGGATGATCACCTCTCCTTTCCCATTTTTGTCCTGGCTACCGCCTTTCGACACCTCCACGATCAGATAAATGAAGACATTGGCCATCATCAGGATACCCAGCAACTTTATTCTCCGGCGTCCAACACTCATGTCTCATATCTGGAATAGGAAAAGGGGAGAGCGAGACGTTAATTACGTGGTGTTAACCTGCCTTTCCAGTTCTTTCTCTTGTCTTTCTGACGTTATCTCCCACAGAACAGGTAGTTTAAAGAACAGAGTCGGAGCAGGTCAATTAATAGCCCCCCGCCCCACACCTCCCTAGCTTTATGGCTATAAGGAAACAGCATAGTCTACGCCTTAGCTTCTCTATTTTTTTCACTGTTCACATATTTTTAAAATAAATTTTTTATTTTAATTGTGATTTTCATAAAAGTTTACAGAAAAGCTAGATTTTCATTCATTCATTGTTGCATATTTTACCCTCTCTCCCTCCCTTCCCCCTCCAAGCTGACTTCTGTTATACTAGTTTATTTAGAATATTTGAATACATTGTTTTTGAGAACAGATTCTTCTAATTTCCCTCACCACCCCACATAAAATAATATGATTCCATGACTAACCCCCCTTCCCCCCCCACACCCTCATCCCTCTGCTTCCACCCTCCCCACCCCCCATGGATCAATCATACTCATTCTATAATAATGGTTTTATACAGTATTTGTCCTTGTGGGACTGAGTTACTTCACTCAGCATAATGCTCTTCAGTCGCTCCCAAATGAGGTAGTAATTTACAAAACCATTGCTCCTGTGTAGTATTCTACTTTGTAATGTACCATAATTTCTCAATCCATTCATTTTCCATCTATTTTTACAGTATAAATGATATAATGTAATATTCTTGTAATGGGGAGAATAATCCCCCCCTTTGATCCTGTATGTGAAGCAGCACCTATAGTACCTGTAGCCTGCCTATGGCAAGCACTCACGAAGTGACCATTAACATCACTGCCGCAAAACTCAGCGAGCAGATGATGTGTACTGGACATCATCACCTCCTCAGAAGGACAAACACAATCTTAGCTTTACTAAGTCTCTGACCAAATTCACCACAATTCTACTTGAGAGAGCAGCCACCCGTGGGTACCCACACATTCCCATGTACACAGCAACGTGTGAAAGCCCACGTAACTCATTCTGACCTCCTGTTATATTCCACTTAATAAAAAGAAGAGGAAATCAGGGATAGCCTTACGTCTAAATTACTTCATAATCGGTCATATTCCCAAATCAGGGACTTGAGGCAGAAAAAGGAATCCTACTTGCATAGGATTGTGGGGCAGGAAAGTGGGAGAGGCATTAACCACTGAGTCCCCTAAAGGATAAAATGAAACAGGCACAGCTCATGTATCTTTAATAACCCCAAACTGAGAAGCCATCTACCAGCAACAGAAAGGATTAACACAACGCAGTACACACACAGAGTGGCATATCCCTTAGCAATAAAAAGGAAAACATGCTACCTGATAAAAGAGCTGTGCTGCCAACCCAAAGGTACACAGTTCAAATCCACAGCTGCTCTGTGGGAGAACGATGGGCAATCTCACCTGTGATTTAAAGCCTCTGAAAACCCGCTAGGGGGGTCAGCTCTATGAGTTAGTTCTGACCCGACAGCCCTCGACCACAGACATAGCTGCCAGTAAGAACACTCGGCTGTGGAAAACACAGTTTCTCATCAGGCTCAAAACATGTTAACTGTGTGATTCCACTCCTACAAAGCCCACGGATCGTGCAAAACAAATGCAGCCAAAGAAACTCGTGATGGGCGGCCGGGGGCCTGGCTGAAAGGAGCCAAGATGAGTAGAGACACCTGTAGGCAGGTTTCAATGGTATATATGCAAGTGCCAAAACTCAAACTATATAAATTATTTCTCAATACTTGTATCTGCATTTAAAACAAAACAAAACAAAACAAAAACACCTCACCGCTCTTGAGTAAAACAGACTCACAGCAGGTTTTTCGGTTTTTTTTTCCAGAGGCCGTAAACTGCACAGGAGGAGACTGCACATCTTTTCCCCACAAAGCTGAGGGTGGGTTTGAACCATCAGAGACGTGCAGCCTGTGGCTTGGCAGAGATCTGCCTACAGACTCGCTCACTGGAGCTCCCTCATATCTGCACAGCAAAAGGACAAAGGACGTGCAAACATTTCAGTGACTGACTTTGAAAAATCCAAAGTCAGTAACAGCTTTCAGACTAGAGCAGACAAGGAGAGAGTTCTTTTGAGGGTAACATAAGCTCAGGGGTCTAACAATCTTTTAGACAAGCTTGACATTGAAAGGCAATCCAGGGAAGGAAACACAATAAGCTAGAAGAGCCATCAAGATTTCCTTAGCAGGCCCTTTCTTCTGGGATTTATCCCTAGAAAAGAATCCCATAGGATCCTATCCTGGGACCATGTATTTTTTCCCCCACCATGCATTATTTTACAGTGAACCTAGAAAGTGAATATTCCTACTTTTGGACTCATTTATACTTGAAGAAACAGACTTAAAGATGCTAAAAAAAGCACATGTTCAAGGAAGGAACGGGGATTCTGCAGCCACCACGTGAAATGACAGCCCTCCAAGGCTTACTCTTAATCAAGAGCAGGGTTTTTATTGTTTCTCCCTTTTTTAAAACAAAAGAGGTTTTGTAAATTTGCTGTGTTCTAACAAATAGTGTCAACTCATACAGGCATCTGGCTTGCTGAATGTCCTATAAAGCGTTCACAGTGTGGAAGCCCAGAGACGTTCAAGAGCCCTGGCTGGTGTCTCTACAATTTGTCTAGTGGATCTTAATCTGCACTCGTACTGCTTGCTGCTGATGACTGCTCTCAAGCCGGCCTGAATTTGCGGAGCTGCACACACAGGGCACAGTATCCACTGCTGTCATGTCCCCACCACCCTGCAGTCCAGGCAGCACGAGCCTATCACGGATTCCACTGGCTGGGTTTCAGACTGAACCATGAGGCCTCTCTTCCCAGTCCACCTGCACCAGCAGCTCCACTCAACTTGCTCAGTGTCCCAGCAGCACGCAAGACTCCGCCGAGGGACAGGTGGTGGCTGCACGTGAGCCACGGTGGCGTGGAAAAGTACCGCCGAGCCTCCACTCTTCCTGTTAAATCCCTGTGCTTCCCCTGCTGAACTGCTTCTACTGCAGAGACGTGCAGCAAAGCAAAACAAAAACATCCCTCCCCAAACCCTCACTGCACAAAAGCATTTGCTCATGCAGAGATCTAAGCTGCAGATACCATTCTGCAGAGCTCTCAACGCTGCCTCAGTGACTATTTCTCCATCGTGACTTAATTGTACTTCCCAAGAATCCCACCACTGAATTACCAAGAAAGATGAGTCTTCCAAAGAAGGCAGAAGAAAAACCACTGTTTCTTGCTCCCTAATTAAAGAGGGTCCCAAACCTCACACAGGTTGAAAAGTCCACCCCTAAATCGAATGTCTCTTCTCTCCTTACTTAAGTCAGCTCCTCGGAATGGAGTCTTCATGCAAACCTCGGGAGGTCACTAAAGGACTGGGCCCTGGGCATCTCTGGTCATCTCCTTTCAAGGCACCACAAGCCCTGAAGTTACCTACGGCAACTTAAACCTCTTTGCTGTTAAGTCCAGTCCAATTTGCGAGAGCAAGAATAAGTGAAATGGAAGCGGAGCACATTGCCTGGGGATATGATGGAGCTAAGAGCATTAGTCATCCTTTTAGAAAATAAATCAGATACATTTAAGCTGATTTTTTGTTTTGGCTTCCAGATTTAAGATGAAATATATTTCATAAATACATGATTCACCTTTAAGTGGGAACAACTCTCTTCAAGCAGAACTTGACCCAGGACTGCTGAATCTGGGGCCTTCCTATCGCCAGCAGACTGAATACAGTGAGGGACTGGAGAAGGCGAGGAGGATTACAAAGGCGAGCGGGAGAATGGACTGTAACTGGAGGAAAATGATCTGAGAGGGTTACCCAAGCAAAACAAGAACCTTGACTAGCATACACTCTAAACAGCTCACTACTTGGCAGAGACTTCCAACCCAGAAAAGAAACTTAGGCATCAATAAACTATTTGAGAAAGTTCTCTGGTAGAAAGGGAATAGTTAAGGAAGAAAAACAGGGAACTAGGTTATTTTACTTAAGAGGTGGGGAACTCGTAGCGTTCATTCTCTCAGTTAAATGAACAAACTGCAGGTGAATTCTTTGTGAAGTGACTCCAGACAATGGGTACACCGTGGACATCTGGATCATTTGTACGTTTCCATCATGGAAAGTGTTGATCTTTCATTTGGAAATCGTTCCCCCCAATCTTGTTTAAATTTGATTGAAACAAGATTTTTTTGTAGGAAGATTTCTTTTCAGAAAATGGTTTCTATATATAAATTTTAATGAAAGTTTAAAGAGACTTTGGATTCCCATTCATTCATTGTCACACTTTTCTCCCTGCCCAACCTACCCCCCGCCCCCCCCTCCCCCAGTTTGCTCTTTTCTTTGAAAAGTAAAAGAAAAATTCTTTCATTATTATACAACCTTCCCTTCTTTGGGGAATGTTTTGAGGCATACATTAGACAAGCAGGTAAGATTTCCAAATTCCCATCCACCAGAGTCAGTGTCAACTCCCAGCCAGCCAGTAAGGGCTGAGGAGAACTGTCTGGAGGCTTTCGTCCTTGTGTACACAGCCGACTTCACCTTTTTCACCTCCTGTAGCTTTTCCCCCTGAAGGTGCAGCTCACCATTAGCAGGAGCACGCTCTGAAAACTAACAACATCTAAAAAACCCAACAAAACACCCCAACCTACTGCGCTCAAAGTGGGCAGCCAATTCCCAATGCGTTTCAGAGCCTACAACATCTTTACAGAGGCTGCCCATTTTCGTCCCTCAGAGGCTGCTAATGGGCTCAAACTGATGACCTTTTGGTTTGCAGCGTATCAGGATGTGCATCTTAACACTCTTATCAGCAGAGATCATCTCTTTCTAACTTCATTCATCACCAATCCAAACTTTTATTTCCTCAACCAAGATCCATCTTAGGCTGTGGTCTTCTTGGCCGCCCTCGGCCGCGGACAGGGTTTAAGCGAGTCTCTAAGAAATTCCATCTTCCGTCACATCTCTGCTG